GAGCTTTCTTCGTGTGTTTTGACTTAACTGCAGATCACCGAAGTTCATCAACGTATATCAGGCAATACCTATGGAAATGAGCCCAGACATTTGCCAAACAACATACAAAGTCCGAGTCGTGCCTCGAATTGCGCTATCTCACTCCTGTCAGGTAAGTAATTCCAGGTATGTTTTCCACTCATGTTAGCATACATCATTTCTTGATACATTTTAAAATGGGACTCATAATCCCGACAAAAACAACATTCATTGCATTTGCATGGTTGAAATTTAGGTATCATTTAGTCTTTGAATGCAACCTCTACGAGCTCACCTTCAAAGAGGGGCAGCTGTTGACACCTAAATTTTGGCATATCATTTAGTGTAATTTGCATAGAAAATTAGGGATTAAATTTTTAACCCCTAAACAAAAATATTTAAATTGCATAAACATATAGTTTAGGTCCATTTAATTTAATTGCATTTTTGCATCGAGTTAGCGTGGCGAATGAGCTTAAAATTTCATCGAATGAGACTCGGCTCGCTCGGAAGGCAAGGGCCGGGAATTACAAGTCAAACGGGCTCGGTTGTTTTAATTTGAGCTTAATTCAGCCCATTATCCTTAATTAATTCAGCCCATTTAAATTAAATTAAAATCTAAGCCCAAGCCTAAGCCCATTAGGACTAGAGAGCCCATCTAATTGACCTAGATTAGTGTTATATATACATCATTAGGTCAGGATTTTAGGGAGGACACACAATTTCGAACACAGTTTTTCAGATCAGAATTTTCAGAGAGAAGAAGGGAGAGAGAGAGGTGATCACGGGTTGGTTCAACCGAGTCCGTGCCGTCCCGCCACTGTGCTGCCTCGCTCCCGTGCCGCCACGCCGTGCCTGTCTCGCACCTCGCAGCCGCATCACCCGGAGTCCCGACGACCTTCACAGCCCCCAGGCGAGCTCCCACAGCAATTCCGGCGATTTTTCAGTCCAGCCACGTGTCCTAGCTCCTTCTCCGCTGAGACGCATCCTATCGTTATCACCTCAGACGAGCCGCGAGGTCTCTTGACGACGAGCCAAGCCGTTTCTGTTCAGGTTAAGTCCCACGATCTGCTCCGCCTTGACGCTCATCTAAGCAATACGTGGCAGTGGACACGTTGAGGAATTCACGAAGAGACAAAAGGAGACAACGAGCAAAAAGAAGGAGCTTTCTTTCTTCTTGCAGGATTTCACTTGCTCAAGACAGAACACATCACAAAAAAAAGGAAAAATAGAGACGTCCAAAGGCCCACGTTCCAACATACACATTAAGGAGGACTCTTTGTTTCATCCAATACAAAGTTTTCTCTCTTTCTCGGTCAACACTGGATACGATACCAGAATCGTGACAGTGCGGTGCCTCACCATCGAACCAAGAAGCCGTCACCACAGAGAGCTTCACCACTGAAGACCTGTTGTTCAAAACCCGCGCCTCGCGACGATCTGCCACTACCGTCGCTGATCTTTCACCAAATCGTGGAGTTGTCCCTCTGTTTTGCAGGTTATCAATCATCGAGAACCACCGCGAGGGCCAACCGACAAGTCCCGTTGCTGCTGAACCTGAAAGAGCGAGAGCTCACTGCCCGGAACAACTCTCGGTTCATCCCGGTGTTCCCTGTTGCTTCCGTGGCCGCGGCGTCCCTACACCGTCGCAGCCCAAAGTCGACTCGCCGCGCCGACGCCGCGTCGCCCGTCGTCCGAGTCCGATCCCGATCCACAATTCGAATTTGGAAGTTATCTGCAAATTAGGTAATTCAACATTATCCGATATTTTCAGAATATTTAATTTCCTAATATGGGTGTTTGAATATTTCGTGAATATCATGTGGATATTTAGAAATCTTAGGATAATGTTCGATATATCCGCAATATTTTTAAATATTCAAAATCAGGAATCATTCCTAATTTGGCAACGTATCTGGACGACTATCCGACCTTATCCCTAAGGTTCGATACGCGGCGATACGGAAAATTATTATCCTATCCATAACCACTTGGGTACGATAATGATTTTTATCCGCTTTCCAAATTTGAATAATCGGCTTTCCGTCGATATCTATAATCCTATAGATATGACCGATAGTTTGATTTTTGTGCCTAATCCGAGTTTGAAACAAATATGGCGGATCGCGTGGACGTTTTGAATGTGGTTGCTATCCTTGTTTATTTAATTGCTTTCCTTTTTCAAATAAACAGAAAATTCAAAAAAATATTAATTAGATTTGAATCAGAGTTTTTGCATGTCTAGGAATCCTAAATGTATCTAGAAGATAGAGTAGTTATTTAATTTAAATTAGGACTTGAGATGATCTATTTTCTAGTTTAAATTAAGTAATATTCTAATCTTAATAGATTATTCAGGTTATTCATTATTTCGAATTTTAACAAAAATCCTAAAAAGAAATCATGCTAGGGTAGATTAAGTCATCATAGTTTGCATGTTAATTTAGGCATTTTTATTATTCCGAATTTAAATTGAGAAAATACCAAAAATAATCATTCGTCCTGTCATTAGAAATAGGTCACGTCGTCGCACGACATATAGTTTGCATGCTAGGTTGCATTAATCGCATGTCATTTTCGCATGTCATTGCATATAGGCTAGATTTTATTTAAATAAGTGAAAATCCAAAAAAAGAAATTGAGTGAATTGCTTGTTAATTAGAAATCATATTATGGTGTCAATGTGATTTTCTAGCTAACAATGCAGATGCTTACGTTGCTTCCAGGTAAGTAATTCTTCCAAACTTGCAATTTATTTAATGCTTTCTGAGTGTTAAATTGGTGGTTTGCGCACTCGCATGAATACCTCACATGTTAGTAACTAAGTTGAAATGGATCCAAACTGTCTGCCAAAACATTTTTGAAAAGAAAAGGTACCGAAAGGGCGTTAGACCAGATCTAGCGTAATCAAGTCCCTGGGCTTAGAATATCTGGTTCGTAGGAATAAAACATATCTCCCTATGTTTTATTTAGGTTTCTAATCAACCTACCATAAATTGATTAGTGGCGACTCCAAGCATAAAAACTTTTGCATGTTAAAAACTTAAACTCTAAGTTGCGAATTGGTAGGGCTTGGGAGGGCCCGAGTTAAGATTAGTCTTAATAATCCATTAGCCCGAAAAATGAGGAATTTTTTTAGGTCGCGACAGTGAGCCTGCCTTTGTTGACTTCCACCATTTCTTTGTCTCATATACAGCCATCCAAGGTTGACCCTTTGTTTATCTCTGTGATTTTTAACTTGGTAAAGACGTAATCGAAAACTTACTTCATCTCATTTTATACCAACCTTCTACTTTGGACAAAAGAAAGGTGAAATTCTTAGTTTGTATTATATATTGGTGCAAAATATAGGGACGCGACAGCAGTTGAAAATTCCTAATCGTTGTCGTTATATGACAAGGAGATTTTATATGTAATCAACCACGTTACTTTACTATTGCGAGAACATAATGAAAATTAATATCAGAGAAAATACTCGATAGGAAGATTTACATTGCTAATTTGCAGCATCAAGACGCATTTAAACCAATGGCGTCGAATGAGGCGAGCACCTAGGGTTCCTTACGAGGAAAATGATCTATATTTTGCAAAATTAGTAGTCTAAATGGCACTTATTAAGGATACCGATGGAGATTACTCTGCAATAATATATTTACAAAGATTGCCTAGGTTATATTCGAGTGCAAAAACATTGTTGAAAAAATTAACCACAGTAGTAAAAAAAAAAAAAAGACTCCTAAGTGTGTTTCTATTATTACCAAGAAGGGAAATTTTGAGAAGGAGAAATCTTAGGAATATAATGGGCAAAAGGACACCAGAAGTGCCATAAGTTGTGTACGGAGGTCACTTTGGTGCCATAACTTTTTTTCGGATCACTTTGGTGCCAAAATCGGAGAAAAATAGATCACTTTAGTGACTCCGGCCAAAATTCTGGCAAAAAAGCTGATGTAGCATTTATATTTAAAAAAAAATGGTCTGACTTGTACATGTGAAAATTATGTGGCTTTTTTTCGAATTTTTTAATCTTTTTAATCTTTTTTTTTCCTAACTTTTTCCCGGTCGCCGGTCCGGCGACCGGCCAAAGGGGAGGGCCGGCGAGGCCGACCTCGCCGGCCTCTAGCGAAGCTCGCCCCGCCGGCCACCGGCGAGGACAAGCCTCGCTGGCCCCTGGCTGGGCAAGGGGAAGCAGCAGGCGATGGGTTGCCGCCGCCCCACCACCGCCGTCCGGGCGAGGGCTTCCGTCGCCCTTGCCTGGGCGGGCGAGGGTCGCCCTCGCCTGAGTTGGGTGTGGGCGACCCTCGCCCGCCCAGGCGTCGGGCGACCCTCGCCGGCGTCGGGCGAGGGTTGCCCTCTCCGGAGAAGAAAGAAAAAAAAATAAATAAAAAAACAGAAAAAAGAAAAATACGAAAATACCCTTGGGTTAAAGTGTTGTGAGGTAAATGTATCACAATGAGTACAATTTGGGGTTTTTAGTATCACAAAAAAAAAGTTCAGAGTAAACTTGTCACAAATGGCATAGTTTGGGGTTTTTCGTATAAAAAAAAAAGTTCAGGGTAAATTATCACAAGTGTCATAATTTGAGATTTTTGGTGGTATTATCCTTTTTTTTGTTTTTTTTTAAATTATTTTAATATAATTTAAATTTTATTTTACTAAAAAAGTACAAGTCAGCGGACTAAACGGCGTCGTTTTTGGTTTTTAATGCTGATTGGACCTCTCCGACGAGCCATGTCAGCGCCACGTAGGATTTCCGGCAAGCCATGTCAGCATTGGCACTAAAGTAATCGTTTTTCAAAAAACCCATGCATCATTATAAAGATCATGGTGCCACAAAATCTTAAGAGAAGATGTATGTCCGAGTATACTTATTTTTGTAAGGTTATTGATGATCAATGTGCCGGAAATCAATGAATTGCATTTTGAAATTCGCCTCTTGATTTCTCTTGTAATGCTCTATGGATATGGGGGTTAATTAAAATCCTTTTGTGGTTGTGTTGCTTAAACAGGAAGTGAAGGAGTACTTTGTAAACTACATACTTAATGACAGCCTTGGAATTATTGCCAATGCCCACACCGTCTTTGCAGATAGTAAGCCTGAAAAGGCCATGAGCCCTGAATGTGTAGAGCTTGCAAAACTTTTCTCTATTGCCGTTGACTTCCCAAAAACTGGTGTACCTGCTGTGATACCTCCTAATCTGTATGCCAAAGAATACCCAGACTTCATGGAGAAGCTTGACAAGTCCAGCTACCCATCCAATAATGTGATCGGAAAGCTTTTCCAGGAAGTCAAAGATCTAGCATCTGCATCAAGCTCTATTCGAAAGTTCACGCTGGAAATGGCGAGGCAATCTTATGACCCAGATATGGAAGTGGACGGATTTGAGGAATATGTCGATGACGCTTTCTATCACAAGGGCAATTATGATTACAAGCTGGGGAATCTGATGGAGAACTATGGGATTAGCACAGAGGCTGAAATACTTAGTGGCTGCATAATGAAAATGTCCAAATCTTTCACCAGGAGGAGAGACGCTGAATCCATAACTGCGGCTGTAAAATCCCTGAGAAAGGAAGCTCGGACCTGGTTTAATGATAAGGGAAGTGGTTCGTATTCTGAGCCTGTTGATGAATATGCAAAAGCGTCTGCGTGGTATCATGTCACGTATCACCCGGATTATTGGGGTTGCTATAACGAGGGTTTAAAGCGAGATCATTATCTTAGCTTTCCTTGGTGTGTATATGATAAACTAATCCAAATTAAGAAGGAAAAACGAGGTAGGATAACTGCTCGCAGATCCACTCTTGAAGACTACTTTACCCGTGGATTGCGTCTGAATTGAGAACTCCAACTCGGATATTTTCTCAGTTGAAGAAACGAGAGTTGTCGTATTTGGGTCTTGTGCAAATGTGTAGGCAACAGTACTCCTAAATTCCTGCTTTTGTGTAGCAAAGCTTAAATAACATTCTGGCTGCTATTTGTGCGTGCATTACATCTTTCTGTACATAATGGTAATGTATAACAGTTGTTCACTCTTTATAGTCTCTCTGAATTGATATTTTCCATAGTATCACGATAAACTTTGCATACCCCATAAATTTCTGTGTACGGCAGTTATTCTTCCATGCCATAGGTTCCTTGGATTCCTAATGCTGGTGGATTTGAACATAATAACATTTCTGTAATCTCAGACAACAGCTCTAGTCCGGATGATGCCGCATCAGATTCGGTTTGTCATGGAATTTGAGAATAGATCATGCTCTAGCCATGGCTGATGTGGCAAAAGTTTGCCGCAGCTATTATCATGGGAATGGAGCACTCCGTAGCACAGAGGAGATTAACAAGATTTTCTTATGAGGAATTTGAAGATCATATTGATGAGAAAAGTACAGGGTTATCTTTAAAACAGGAGCAGAATGATTTGCTATTCATTTTCTCACTGCACCAAAATCTACAGTCTGGAAATCAGCTTCCGGTGAAGTAATCATTTACGCTCGCAAGTTTAGGTCCCACAATACAATCTACCTAGTTTCTCTCTTTCTTCTTTTCTTGTGGGATAAATCGAAAGAAGTTACGCAGTCAAGCTCAATCGTATACAAAGCCAACACGTCATAATTCAAATAACAAGTTTACTTCTAGAATCACAGAATCAGGATTATGTACCGAAGCTACCCCATGTACGAGGACAAGCAACATAATGCTGCTTGACTTTATTTCTTGATGAAGCACCATCTTGATACATGTCATTGTGAAGGTGATGACTTCTTGCTTAACGAAGCCTCAGAGTACCCAAAAGTTCAATACATTGATACTTCATCAAAAAAAGGCAATACAAGTACTGTAAAGATCAGACTAGGAAAAAGTACATATCCGGAACTTTATTTAGAAAAAGAAATGCGGAACTCGCTCTCAGGCGCGCATTATATGCGCTTCAGTATCGCTACCAGTTGGCTTCCTTGAAGAAATGCAGAGTTTAAATGGTCGGAAAATTCCTCAGTTTTCCTGAGAAAACGATCAAACAGGTCGTCGATAATCTCGCTTCCAAAATGTTTGCTGATGATGCCCTCCATTCCGGCTCTTAAGTGCAGCATGCACGCATGCCCTCCAACCGAGTCATCGAGCTTCGATTTAGGAGCTGCTAAATCCATCCTCTCTATGCTAAAACACCCATTGCTCCCTACCAGTGCCGTCATCTCGTCAGGAGAGGTAGCATATACCGGCAAATTGAATGTATCCACCTGAGCCTCACTTATTATACCCTGTACAGAGTTACTTTAATCAGGTCGTCCGGGAAACTCAATGGGATTTGCTTAGAATATAAGTGATTGACAGAATCAAAACCTCAAGAAATCCGTCAAAGGGTCCACATGCATATGATAAACACCTCAAGACATGCACAACTGAGACATGAACGAAGGATCGTCTATGTTTTCGCTCAATTCAATTGGCGAGACCTGGAACTGAACTATGCTGATACACATGCACACATATAACTAATTCTGGTAAGAAAGAAAATAGTGCTGACATTAATTTCCAGTTTTACCTCCTTTGCCATATCCATCAAGCTGAACCCCAAAAGATCGAACATAACGCCCGACGGCACACGTGAATGAGGAATGCCATTAGCGATCCCGGACATGACCAGAACCATGATGCCTCCACTCACAATTTCCTCGCCTCTAGCGCTCAGAAATGTCACCATGTCCTTTGCAAACTGAGAAGCATAAGCATCGCTCACTTCGCGTGGAGCACTTGTGTAGTGAACTCTCCCCTTGTTAAATGCAGGGGAATTTGGATCAACCAATTCTTTAGGCATCTTGGAAAGCCAATGAAGCGCATAAGATGAGTGCGCAATATGGAGGGACGCCTTGGGGAACAGTCGCCCGTGGAAGGATCCCGGCACGCCAGCCGCGTAGTACGGCCGGTCGGATGGCAGGGAAGCGAAGAGGGTGTTGAAATCATTGGCCGCATGGTCGTTGAACAGGACTTGGAAATCAGGCAGTTGGGAGGAGAGGCCTTGTGATTCGTACTTGTGCCGGACCGCTTCTAGGATGTTTTGGACTGCAATGAAGGTGTTCGGCCCAACCGAACAGCCTAAATCCGCGATTCGGAATGTGGTCAGAGCAGGAGAAAATCGCTTCACGTCGAGCCTCTCTGCGATTGCCTCGTTAATTGTCGCCCGGGCGACGTTCGTTGCCACTCTCTGCGATGCACGTAAGAATTGCAAGTCTGATATTTGGTAATTTGATACTTATTCTCATTGAAGCCATGAAGGGTCACAAGAGAATTAACAACCGGAGAGTAATTTCAAAAGCTGAATTCAGGCAAAGCTTAGCGAAAGACAGAACAATTTACTCTATCATTTAGCTCTTACTCCATGACATGAAGAAATGGTTTCTTGGAAATGCATCTACTTAATGTCAAATGAAGAACCTGAAAGTGAGAGTTCTTGTTGTAGCTATATGTGCCGTCTCCACCGTTCATCGGGTATGATTCCGCCACCACCACCGCCTCCGCCACCGCCGCCGAGCCGCTGCTGCTCATCTCTGTCTCTCTCTCTCTCTCTCTCTGTGCTGGGTTCAGTTTTATGAACTAGTGCTCTGGTTAAGTCCTCTTCTTTGCGTGCGTTTCATCTGAAGCCTTTGCTATTATATTCTCCCGACTGTTGGCACAGCGGTCATAGCCAAGCGTTGTTTCTTCCTTCAGTCCACCCCCATCGCCGTTCAAAGGTTCGCCTACTTTGTCTTCCGTTGGAGGCGAGCCTGCCTTTTTTGACTTCCACCATTATCTTTGTCTCATATACAGCCATCCAAGGTTGACCCTTTGTTTATCTCTTTGATTTTTTCCTTGGTAAAGACGTAATCGAAAACTTACTTCATCTCATTTTATACCAACCTTCCTACTTAATTTGGACAAAAGAAAGGTGAAATTCTTAGTTTGTATTATATATTGGTGCAAAATATAGGGACGCGACAGCAATTGAAAATTCCTAATCGTTGTCGTTATATGATAAAGAGATTTTATATGTAATCAACCACGTTACTTGACTATTGCGAGAACATAATGAAAATTATTATCAGAGGAAATACTCGATAGGAAGATCTACATTGCTAATTTGCAGCATCAAGACGCATTTAAACCAATGGCGTCGAATGAGGCGAGCACCTAGGGTTCCTTACGAGGAAAATGATCTATATTTTGCAAAATTAGTAGTCTAAATGGCACTCGTTAAGGATACCGATGGAGATTTTTTTTTTTTGGGCCGTTATATTCGAGTGCAAAAGCATTGTTGAAAATTTAACCTTAGCAGTAAAAAAAAAAAAGACTACTAATTGTGTTTCTATTATTACCAAGAAGGGAAATTTTGAGAAGGAGAAATCTTAGAAATATAATATGTTCTTCTTGCTTTCAATAGTAGCATAATACAATATATAGATATAAAATATCATAATATGAATTAGAGTAATATAATCAATTGACGTAAACTAAAAACAAGCATGCTCTTAATTGCTCAAAAATTAGTGTTGAACCAAGGACATTGCACTCGTGTTGGAATTTGTACAACACGTTGCTATAGGTCAATTGATGAGGAAATGATGGGAAATTAAAATTATTGATAGAATTAATTCTGATTGACGAGTAATGACTAACTAAATAATTACTTGAATCGATCAAATCAGAAGTTATCTAAGAATACCCCATATTTCTCAATATTCAATTTAATTCAAACATAAATTATTCACAATTATTTTGGACAATTAACTAGTATAAATATCTATCTTTATTGCCTTTGTTCTGAAAATCAAGCGAATATCTTTATTAATCTTCTGTTTATTCGCTTAATTAAAATAAGTTATAAAATACATGTAGGCTTAAAGATTATGAATGGACGACAACGCGATAAAACTATTGTAAATATCAGATTTTGAGTTGCTGAAATTCAAAATCACCCCTCCCCACAATTTAAAGATGAAGAAGAGATTCAAAGATAGAACTTGTAAGGGAATTTCTCTTATTGAACGCACATGCCAAATGCTCAAGTACATAGGTTATAAATAGTTGCCATAGATAATTCTAGGTTTCTAACTTACTACCTCACTAATTCACAAAATTAAAGACACACTTAACTCTTGGAATAACTCTCTAGTTGCAACATGTGACTCTCAAAGAAATTAAACCTATCATAAAGACTAGCGACATAGAAAGTTCAGGACCAAATTGAAGATTATTGATCAACACGAGCACCCTCCATGTACCCTTGAGATCGCTCTCGGAGGCGCCGCGTTATTTACGCTTTAGCACGACGACTAGTTGGCATCCGTGAATAAAGGCCAAACTTATACGGTCGGATGATTCCTTGGCCTTCTTGAGTAACCGATCGAACAGTTCGTCGACAATCTTGCATCCGAAATGTTTGCCGATGAGGCCTTCCACTCCGGCTCGCAAGTGCAGCATGCACGCGTGGGCCGTGGCCGAGCCGTCGACCTTCGAATTGAAAGGCGTTAAATCCATCCTCTCTATGCCGAAACACCCGTTTCGCTCGATTATCGCCGTCATCTCCTCGGTAGAGGGAGTGTACACTGGAACATTGAATGAATCCACCAGAGCCTCGCTCGTTTTACCTCCTTTGCCATTTCCATCAAGCAGAGCCCCAAAAGATCAAACATCACGTCCGAAAGTACACATGAATGAGCAATCCCGTTAGCTCTTCCGGGCATGAGCAGAACCATGATGCCTCCGCTCACAGCTTCCTTTCCTCGGGCGCTCAGAAACATCGCCGTGTCCTTCGCGAACTGAGCCGCATAAGCATCAATCACTTGACCAGGGGCGCCTATGTATTAGACTCTCCCCTTGTTGTATGCAGGCGAGTTCGCATCAAGCAATTCCTCAGGCAACTTGCAAAGCCAGGGAAGCGCGTGAGCCGAATGCACCACATGGAGCGACGCCTCGGGGAACAATCGCCCGTGGAAGGACCCCGGCACGCCGGCCACATAGTACGGCCGATCAGGCGGCAGGGAAGCGAAGAGGGTGTTGAAGTCGTTCGACGCATGGTCGTTGAACAGGACTAGGAAGTCGGGCACTTGAGAGGAGAGGCCTTGCGCGATGTACTTGCGTCGGACGGCCTCTAGGATGTTCCCAACCGCGATGAAGGTGTTTGGTCCAACCGAGCAGCCCAAATCTGCAATTTGGAATGTGGTCGGAGCGGGAGAGAATCGCTTTACGTCGAGCTTCTCCATGATCGCCTCCTCGATGGTCGCCTTGGCGACATCTGTCGCAGCTCTCTACGAACCATGTGTTAGAATTATACTGCAAACCGACATCGATACTTTCTAGTAGAATATCCAACGAGCAGTTAATGAGACATGGCAATGCCCAGAGACGCCCGATGAACGGCAAATGGAAATGCTGCAGCATCTACTTAAAATGTCAAGTGAATGAAGTACCTGAAAGTGAGAGTTCTTGTGGTAGCTGTAAGTGCCATCTCCGCCGGTCATCATCGTGTATTCCGCCGCCTCCGCCAACTCCGTGCCGTTGTTCATTTTCAGCTCTCTCCCTCTCCCTCTCTCTCTCTCTCTCTTCTAGTTTTAGGTTGGAGTACTCTGGTTCTTATATACTACTTTTCTCGAGTGTTTCGTCGCAACTCTTTTTTTTTAACGTGATATTCTCTGCATATCGGCACTAAAATTATAGCCCAAAACAATGCTTAATCGGCTAGCAAATATCGTAGACTGATGTACAAGTGATTGCGGTGGTTAGAATCAATCACACCCGAGCCTCACGTATTTTCAAAATGCGATTACTAGACTTAATCTTTAAAGAGAGGAAACGCATCACAAGCAGTTTATTGCCGCTCATGGGAAGGAAATCCTCGAAGTATCTTCGGGCAAAAAACAGAAGGCAAAGCGCTCGTGACATCTAGCGCTTCGAAATCACTTAACTCACGGCCGTGATCATATTACCGATTTCGTTAACAGAAGAACTTCGGCGAAGTTCGAAGCGAATTTCAGGGCCACAAGTTCGATTCTCGAAGCTAAATGTCGTCGGAAGTACTTGAATTTCTATTCGTCCGTTCCACTGCCGTCACCGCCCCATCACCGCCCCGACCCGCAATCACCGTCGCCACCCAGCGCCAAATGTTGCATTAATAACGTGCACGTTATTGGACATGGTTGAACATGACCGATGCTTTCTCTCTCAAACTAATTGATTCTGAATCAAGCCTTGTTACCGAATTTTCCACCAAGGGATGCGACGCCAAAGACTTTGTCTCGTCGGTGGAACTGCTGCTACCGTGGCATTCGCCGCACCGCACGATGAGATTGACGGAATCAAGTGAAGTGCACAGACGGTGCTGAAACTCGTATCGCGGATCGGAACTACCTGTGGGGTAATGTGATCGACATGGTAATAATGATAGACTTTACTCTATGCGATTCTCAATCCGAAAGTACTGGGTTTTCTAAGCAGAAAAAAACAAAAGAAGAAGAAAACAAAAAATTGCCATCCTTTTCTCCTCTCCATCAATAATGTGCAGCTAGAGAATTCTGTGTTGCTTTCAATGAAGTGGTCATTTGCACGAAAAGTTTGGGTCTCTCCGTACCATCTTGCCTGCTCTCTCTCTCTCTCTCTCTCTCTCTCTCTCTCCTTCTATGGAGATAAGCTAAATTGAAATTTCATAAGCGAGCAAACAAGCAAGCGCATAAAGTCTGACACGTCAATTTTAGAAAATGGGTCATGTAGAATCGCGAAGTTAGGATCATGCACTGAAGCAACTCGAGTGTGAGATATGCAACTCAAAGCCATTTTGACCCTTTTTTTTTTTTCGTTTTGGAAAATGGCACAAGTAGTTCTTGGACTTTGGCCCAATATGCAATGTGGTCCTTGAACTTTTAATTTATTCAATGTGGTCCCTGAACTTTTAGTACATGTTCAATTTAGTCTATGAACTATATGAAAATATTCAATATAGTCCATCCATTAATTTAAGTTCAGGGACTACATTGAACATTTTCATATTACATTGAACATATATCAAAAGTCCAGGGATCACACTCAACAAATTAAAAGTTTGGGGACCACAATGAACATTAAGATAAAGTTCAGGGACTACATTGAACAAATTAAAAGCTTATGGACGATATTGTACATTGAGCCAAAGTTTAAAGACTGTTTATGTCATTATCCCTTTTCGTTTTCCCTTGACAACGTACCAATTGGGTGATGACTTTCTGGCTTCGGATCCTCGCAGTAAGCACTGATCTGAAGGCAACACCTAACCACCTCTATTGAGTATGCAATTGATAGTTACGTATGTTCTGTTTAGTGTTTACCATGAGGCAAACTTGCGCAATATCGCTCGAGTTTGCGTTTGAGAGCAAGACACGTCCTTGTGGATGAGTCTTGGCGAATATGTCGGAGGTCCGATCGGTAGAGTGAACTGGAATAATTAAAGCAAATTTAAGCACGAAGAAGATGTTCCCACGCAAAATGATAATCAATCACAGTAGGTTTTTATCCGTTCACGAAAGACATCATTATGGACAACTCGAAAACCATGAAAAAGAGGGCCTTTAACACAGCGGAGAGTGCTTAGTACGGAGACAAAGTGAGCCGTTGCTTAATACTACTTTCTCCTGGCTTTGACAGCACAGTTTACTGAGAAAGCTGAAGTCTTAGCAGTCAAGACATGGTGGCAGATAGGCTAAGTTCAGCGGTTGGAAGAACATTTGCTTAGAAACTGACGCCTTGTTTCCAAAGATCTTACTAATGAGATGGCCATTGCACAAATTCAAAAGGATGGTGACGATTTGATCTTTGCTTGCTTACATTTAGTAATGAAAACTATGCTTTGGCCCAAAAATGGGAAAAAAAAGACTAACTAGTTCTGTTCATATATACAAAATAATATCTTCATCATCAACTAAGGCAGAAACAAATGAAAGAAATATGAATCGCGTATTTCACATTTACATTATCCATCTCGTATCGTCTCGCCCTATTCTGAAGCATTCCCTTCATGGCGAACATGGCATGATTGATGACTGCATTGACCATCTCATTCCACTTTGAACGTGGTCATTGCGGCATCAAAGAAGCTTCAACAACTCCATGGAGAGAGCTCCTTTTCTCTTCTCCTTTTGTATATTTTTTTAATAGACTCATAAAACTTCAAATCTTTATCCTTTTGCTGTTCTTCAAATTCAAGTTATTAGGTGCAACAAAGAGAACTTGACGTGCACGCAAATCTTCCCCTTCTCCAAATCCAACTTAGCTCCGGTCACTAGCCAATGCCCCGGGCAATCTTGAGGCCCCTTGCAATGTTGTGATGTATCCACGAATTTCAAAAGCTTCTGCGATTGCACTGGCACAGGTGGCCCCGTCGGGTACACGCTGGAGTCCATATGTATTGCCAGCTTTTTCTCTTTGGCGGCGTTATTTCCTCCAAGAGACGTGCTTATCGCTGAAAGCAACCCTGACTTTTGGGAGTGCTCGGACCCTCTGTCCCAGGTAGATTGCGCTAAATACGAGTCGGAGACCTTGGAGAAACGGAGCCGGAGATGGAGAACGTTTTTCGAGTCATGCTTCTTCATGTGAAGTTGGGCGCCCGTCACGATGTAGGCGACGTCCTTCCCAGCGGTCAGTAAATATTCAATCGGGGCAACACATATGTGAGAGAACTTCTTCCCTTGGATGCCTTCGATGTAGGCGTCGCCGGCGGCAGCGGCGGCGTCGTCCGATCCTTGCCATATCGGCGTGTCACCTACCAAACTCTCTAGCATGGATGGAGTGTTGGAGAGGTGTTGGAGGTGAATGGCTAGCTTGTTGCATTTCATCCCCTCCAGGAAGAACCGCATCCCCGTGACCGGTCTCTTCCCTACAACAACCTGAAATCGAACAAGACCGATAAATCTTAGGGACTTAATCTTGCCGTTCAGTTCGAGTGTGTATCAAATCTACATGATCGATATATATTGTGATCTCTACTTTGGAAACATCCAAGACCTGATATCAAAGGAGACGCCATTGCAACATATTGGGTCCTAGCTAGCTCTATTTGTGCATCCAACTTGCAAAGACAACTAATGGTGGAAGATGAATACCGATGCACGATTATAAGTAGTTAGGAGATGCGCGATGTATACCTGGGAAGTGTTGACATACAGCTTTGGTCCCATCAAGCTGAAGCTGAGGGAAGGTGATGAGGTGGCTCTATTGGTGGTTGGACCAAGAGGCTGGTCGTTGTGAATGGGAGCCCAAAGCTTGTGGGTTTGGAACTCAAGGAAGGACTGCAGATCACGTAGTGGAGGCTTGTCTGCAAAGCCCCCCAAAAAAGAGAATGAGTTAGATGATTATGGAAAAATGATGGGATATAGATGGAAAACAGATGAGTAAATATGAATTCGACAAAACAAAATTTGAGTGTGAAACGTACAGCGGAGGTAGAGGTTGATGGCATGGGACAGGAAGCCGCAGCCGGGAACGCCTTTGAGAAGAGAAGTAATGGGGATGAAGTTGAAGTGGATGGCGTCCGGCATCGACGGCACGGTCAAGAGCCATTCACAGTGACTCCCGGCCATCGCATCCCCTCCTCTCTTCGAGCTAATCACTGTGATTCCCTGCAATACATTTGTCGACCAAATTTCAGTCGCGCTTTACAAGTTGTTGCAGCGATAAGAAGAACTGATCACGGTATTGAATCATGCAGCAGCAACAAAGGTACGCTTATGCACATCTATGTGATATTGTATGTGACAGTATGAAATGGGTCTATTGTTTGGCCTTTGTGAAGTTTTTCGTGATGGCAACGGCAATTGGCTCTGATGGAGCATAAGTGATGGAAGGATCAATGCGGTGATGGTGCCGGTAGCTCGAAAGAGGTGATCCAGAAGCGATGACCGACGGCGGTGGCCTTCGCAGTGGTCGAGTCCCCCATGATAGTGGCGGTTGTAGCTACGAAAGAGGGGTTGTAGTGGTGGAGAGATAGAGCGATGGAACCATATAGAGACGGAGGAGGTATGGATATGATTTGTTAATTGCTGATGCTATCTTAATGCTATGATCTAATTAAATGGTCGTATAATTTCAAGACCACAGAACATCCATTCCTTTAGTACAATAATCATACAGTATTCCTATGAAAATGAAAAGGATTTCGAATGCTAGAAAATCGAACGGAAGAGATCCGATATCAGGTCGGCACACAACGAAGTTCCGATCATCACGAACAAGTAATTAAATTAAGGCTAATCTTACAAGGACGAGTAATACAATCTTGAATGTGTGAAAGGGAACCCAGTTCTGATTTCTTCATTTTCTCAAGATTCAAATCTTGTAACATATATTTTTTTTTTTTTTGAATAGTTAGTCAAAATTGGCTTCTTTATCAAACCAATCTCTCCGCATTCTAAGTGCCTTGAACAATTCTATTTCAGTGATACACTTCTACCTTTGAACGTGGACATTCATACCCAAACCCAGTGACCCATCATTGTATCCTTAACCAAGTGGTCCATATAAGCGCCAAATTCAAGATGTACCCTAAATTCAACACTTGCTTAATTAATTCCAATGCGCTCTCGCTTACCAAAATGTCTCTCTATTCAACGGCGATTAACTCTCTCTTCGTCGAAAAAACGCGTACTGTACTTTCAATCAATGCGAAATCGAGATAACAGCCTATCATCATGTATATCGCGACGGTACAAAAAAAGCGGAGGACCAAACCTACATCTTTGGAGCTGATGGTCGGCAGGCCGTCGAAGGCGATCATCTGCGGATCGAACAGATTGAATGCCTGCGGCGCCTGGAAGTCGCGACGTCGAAAACCGGAACGAAACGAAGCGCGAAAATTAATTAGAATCATGATAATAATCAAGCGATGCCCATTACAAGATTTTCACCCAATGACATTACTTAGGCTCCGTTTCTTCCGCAGAAAATGATTGATTTGTAAAACATTTTCCGAAAAGATGATTGCTCGCATCGCTCGAAATAATCGGTCAATGGAAAACGTTTTCATCACCGACTACAATTCATGTCCAAACATTTTCCACAGACAATGAAAGTATTTTCCCGATAAGATTGATCTTTTTTTCTAAAAAAAAATGTTTTCCAAATCGTTTCTTTTTTCCGCGAAACAACCGACACCCTGAAAACAATATTTGAGAGTTTTACCTTGTGGTGTTTAGACTCCTTGGTCTTGTAGTGGAGAGGAGAGAAGGTGCAAGCCCCCGTGAAGAGCTGATCGCCCAGGTCGTCCAGGTGCCTCTTCAGTTCCGACGGCCCCAGGTTGGACGATCTGTCTTGCCTCACCACCACCACGTCCTGCCCTCCCACCCCTAGCCCCACTATCACGTGGGTCCCATATCTCTCTATAAACCTGCAAACCCACAACCAAAAAAACATAAGAGAAAAACTATTGTTATTTTCCGGGAAAAATCGAATAATTCATCGGTCATGTATAATCCTATTTCCAAGTTTTTCGTTTCTTCATTATTTATAAACTTCTCGAGAATATATATATTATGTATTGAAAAAATCAAATTTAAATTGAAGTATGAAGAAGTCTCAAGTGTCAAACATCCGTCGAGCTTTCGCACCAAATTTTCCAGCCCAATCACGATTCCCGGCACGAAAGTTTCCCAAAGATTTATAAAGATGCAATATCTCAAACGTTGCACCTTCGCACGCTAATGCCGACCGTCCGATCAGAGCGCGCACCGTCATGCCAGCATCATCCCCGCCCTCCGAGCCCTCTCCAGGCCGTTGATTCCGCTGACTTTTTTTGGGGGGACCGGGTCCAAGTCCCCCTAGCGCGGTCAAAACGTGGAAACTTTCCCCCCGCAAGGGCTTTTGATTTGATTGGTGCCCAGGCCCCCTCTTTCCTTTCCCATGGTGTGTGGGGCCCACGACAGGTGCGATTTGTATTTATGGCGAAGCGAATTGAAAATCGGTTTCCAGGGTTACCTACCTTTGACTTTGTCTTTGTACGATGATTTGGCTTGATTTTCTTTTCTTTCTCATGCCCCATTTCGCAAGTCAGATAGCAGCCACCCCCCGCCGACGAAATCCGGAAATTTGTCATTTTTCCTGGCCAGGGAATGTGTGTGGGTTGGGCTGGACAAGACAACATGCCCGGGGCGGCGGGGGGCTCGATCGTCTCGAAAGTAACAGTCGCGAATGCCAACATGAACGCCGAGTTGCCACGTCGTTGGTATAGATGGTGGGTTCGGGGACTTGACTGAAACAGTGTATAATCGAATGCTCCTGTGGACGGGATTCCGAGGAACTCGAGCCAGGAATGATCTCTCCGTGTCGCGGCAGCGATGTTCGAACTAGAAAACCCTAAGTTGCGCCCCCACGCTCCCAGGGAAAAATCAATTTCGATTTGAACAGATGAAAGGAACATTCGGGTCCAATCTTGGCATTAATTGTACGCATTGCCGAGCCCCGGCCGGCTAGTTAATTTCTTGATTCTATGGGATTTGCCAGAAATTACGGGTCAAGATTTATGGTCTTCTCCTCCTCCTTAACATGCTCTTCTCTCTTTCTCTCTCTCTGCTAGTACCATATGGACTGCATATCGACTTTAATGCTTTCAATAATTCCACGTTTGATCATTTAAGGGTTGGTCATATTTTAGTTTGTTGAGGAACGGAAATGGCCAAAGTCAACTTGAGGACGATGATGATGACGAAGCATAACGAGGAAATGTGAATGCCAATCCGACTCTACTCGTTCTAGCAGTTCTAAAATTCTAAACGAGCCAGCCTAACGTTCAGGAAACGGCAGCAGACGTGGGAAGCACACATACCTTGCAAGAGCCGAGGGATCCCAAGTGGAAGGAACCGCCTTGCAGACCTCGTCGGCGAGGACGAGCGGGTACCGGTCAATGTGGAGGTTGAACAGCACGATGAAGTAGCCGTCGAGGCCCAAGTACTTGATCTGCGCCGCGTCGTTCGCCCAGCAGTTGCTCTGGAACCCGAACATCGAGTTGAACAGCCCCGACGGGATCTTCCCCGGCACCGCCGATTTCTGGTTGAAGAATTCCGACATCTGAAACAACATAGAAATGTAAATACTAACCAGTCCAAAAATCTGCACTAGATCTATCCAAAGCCGCCCCGTCTCAACAGGCGGGTGTGTCTGATAAAAGTTCTTGGGTTCCAGAGAAATCAAAAGGCGCGTATAGATGGGTTTTTTTCTCCCATTTACCTTGCTGAATTCGAGGATGTCGGATTGGTACCGGCTCCGTTCGCCCTTGTCGCATCTTATGTCGGCGGGGACGTTGTTCACGGGTCCGAAGCCGGGGATCACCAACGTCCTCTTCTCCGTTTCATTGAGCTGGACTAACCTCTCCTCGCCTTTGCAGAACCTGAGCCTGAAATCAGAGGTCAAGTCGAACCCTCTGCCGAGGCTGGCCAGAGCCTCCTCCACTATTCTCTTACTCATGCTCTCGCTCTCTCTCTCTCTCTCTCTCTCTCTCTCTGAATGAATGAATGAATTTTAAGTGGCTGGTCGATGATGATTGGTGGTGGTGAGAGAAAAACTAATGTATATATGAGGAGGAAGGAAGAGAGAAGCGGCTTTGGGGAGAATTTTTCAGGGTTTGGCACGTTTTGACTTGTGGTTTGATATATATGGAGAGTTTAGAGAGAGAGAGAGGGAGAGGGAGGGGTGACAGATTAGAATGACAGAGATATTTTCAGGAAATTTCCATCTGTTGATGCATGTTTGATTCTTCTCTTTGTCTCGATGATGATGATGATGATGATGATAGGTGTGAAAGGAGAGAACGAAATATAAAGGGGAATAAGTCTCAAGTGGTGGTTCTCATGCTCAAAACATTCACACGGACGTACGAGTTGGAGGGCTGCTTTGTCCCATTTCAAATGCTAACCAATTGAGAATGGAGACCAAGATACTATGGCAATTGGCTTTATAAGGAAAGTGAATCCGAGAGAAGATGAGGTGTAAGATCGGGGGGAAAACTGCCCAAAAAAGCCTTAAGCCTATTGCGCTTGTGCCAATTCAGTTCTAGATATAATGATGTGCATCGCCGAATAACGTCCGATTTGTTGTTTGAGCAGACGGAAGGACTACATTGAATATTTACCGATAGTTCATGGACCACATTGAACAAACTAAAAATTCGTGGACGACATTGAGCGTTGGGCCAAAATTCGGGAACCAGTTGTGTCATTTTTCCCGTCATTAAATATAAGGCCCCACTTATTCAGACACCCAATCAAAAGTTCGACACGTCATTCGGCAAAAAACATGCTGCGACGAGGAATCTCTGTGCATCTTGCGTTTTTCCACGGACTGTTCAGGCAGGACCAGGTAGGAACTGAGTTTCGAGTCGAAGATCAACCACTTCGGGGTCCTCAGGTCGAGTCGAATTTAATATCTTAAGTACTCGAGTCAAGAGGACTGCTATTCTACCTAACTTGGTTTAATTTTGTTTACATACTTCAACCCTATTCATAAGTGTTTCAAAATCAGAATACTTGAAGACATACGCGCGTGAATGTAAAGAAACTAAAGAAAGCCGACAGTGCTGAATGTATCTGAATACATTATACTAAATTATCAACTGTGAGAATTGTCTTCTTTGTTTTCCCTTAGATCTCAAATCCGTGTGCTTGAGGTTGATTGCAAGGAAAAGGAATCGTTAGTAATAATCGTTTCGATGCTGACATGCTTGTCCTTTGTCCGAACCCAATTTTCCAACATTGCGGAATTGATATTAATAATTGTACATCGACATTTACGAATAAAATATCCGATAATCAAATCAAATAGAATTTTGGGGGCATGTCGATCGAGAATTTCCCACGAGGTCGGTAATATCTCAGCGTGTGAGCGAGATCTCGAGCTCAATCCGAGCCTAGCAACTTTCATGCCCTGCTCGGCCGATGAAAATAAGCCAGTGGCAAATCACGTAAAATTACCGCGCGCCGTCTTGCTTTCTCGACCTACGTAAACTCGAACGTATTGCACGATGTAGTTCCGCAGGTGAAGAGAAATACTATACACGACAATTCACATCAACGAAGAGACAGGCCGAACATCTCATTACAACTTCAAATCACATCAGTCTGTTATCATGGAATTACATCAACGTCGTTGGTTTACAGTGTCTTCAGAATGTTAGGTGCTGATCACATTTTCCTTGGTCTCGAATACTGCTGACGAGACTTTGCCTGATTCGCTTGCCTTTGGATGTATTGCCAATAATTGAGTGGGCCTGTCTCGATGCGTTTACGAAGTGGGATGAGAGGTTTTTTAGTAAGATGTAGTGTGAAATCAAGAGCTTGACTCTTTGGTCGCATAACACGCCTTCATCCACGTCGGGCTGAGACTGGACTAAACCGTCCGTCTAGTAGCTCGTCGTCTCGGAATACTTTTTTCGGAGGCTTGGTTCGAGGAAGATGCGTCGGATGGCAACGAATCGGAGCGGCCCGACAGCCGAGAGCGTCGAGCAGAACAAAGTGCTCCGGCATGGGATTCTCCTCTCGAAGCGAGAGCCGTGTCTTGAGACTGTGGAGTCACCTCTAGAATGTTATAGGTCTAATGTGATCTTGGCTAAAGACTGAGACTGACGAGGGCATTAGTTGTTATGAGCAGAAATTCGCTTAACAATCCAATCCCCACATAGGTAGAGGACGTATGACACGATTCATAAGTCGAGACTCAGTTATCAAATGATCACCACCTATCGAGCTTTCGAGCCATTGCCCTATTCATCCACGGTTAACAAAAATTATGACATTTTGCTGATAAAAATAGCTGAATGTGTGACTAAACCTTCCTATTTGGATTTGGCTCTAGTTTGTTTAGGAGTCGAGCCGGCTCATTTGACCTATGCTATTAGTTGGTGTGACATCAGTTATGGACATTACCCACATGCAAATTTATTAGAATTTTAGTATTATTCCGTTATTTTCTTTGTAACCCGCCAATCAAAAAACTAGTTGGAACGAGTGATGAAGAAAAACACGCTCTAATACGCTGCCATCTTTCCGATTATTTAGGTTTGGAACTCTCCCTCATATCAAATCATCCCAAGCTAGGGTACAATCTGAGATATCATAATGTGCAAGGAACACAATCTCACATGAAGTGTGAGATTGTGTAAACACTGGCGCACAGCTAGATAATACTTTGATCACAAAGTCAAGCGGAAAGGGACACAAATTGGGGGACTTTGCCATGACTTATGCAAGACCCTTTTTACACTAGCTCCTCTTTTTACAAGACACTTTCTTCAGTGTGTAACCTGAAAAGAAAAAAAAAAGCATAGAGCAGAATCAATCATCCAGCCCAGACGTTAGACCGCAACACAACGCCAAGAATTCCTCTCCCCTTGTCTTTCACACACGGGTTTTATTGGGTGGACTTCAGTTGAGATGAAGCAGGGTCCTTTGGCTGCTTCTCTTCCCCCACCAGCAACGTCACTGTCCTGTGGAACTTTGTGGGTCAATCTTTCTTGGTAAAAGACTGAGTCGTACTTAGCTTCAACGCAGCGACTTTGATGTCATCCACAACTTTTTTTCTCAACCGGAAGTAAGTCAGATGATCCATCACAAGGAATCCCCAAGTGTGTGTTCACAAGCATAAGATAGGAGAAATCACTGAAGTCGGTCCAAATGCAGAACACGCTCTTGACAGATGGGATTCAAGTATGGGCGACCAAAGTTTATTGCTGTGATAAAAGCATATTCCGGGCCTCTTTGGATTCTTTCATGTTCTAGTGTTCATACGGTTGCGTAGTTGAATGGCTAAAGCGTGAGACCAATGTGATGATTTTCATTATAAAAACTTGTTGATTCCATTCTGTTTTTACGTGTCTTGACCACCTTTCTTTTTTGTTTTCTTCTTTTCGGACGGCCCTTCTTCTCTTGTTTTCCGATCAAGTGGAGATGAATACTTGACTGCTAAAAGGGGTTGGGTCAAGTCGAAGCAGCAAATTGACCTTGACCACCAGAGCTTCAGGCAGAAAGTTTAGGCGGAGGAATTGAACATCATCCTCTAGTTTGTCTTCTGAGATCAGAACTAGGAAAGACATAACGTTTGGGGTCCAACTTGTTTTTGGGAACGGGCGACTAGTTTCTAACTGTATCTTGTACTCAAATTATATAACAGTTGATTATCAGCTTGCTAAGCATGTGTCAATAAGCGCCAACTCAGTAGAAGCAAGCTTAGATGGCTGCTGATGAGCTTCTTTTTGGCTCCAAACCGAGTCCGCTCCCGGTACGGTCAGTTCTGGTCTGAGTTCCGCATACATTTAGCTAAAGGATTAGTTTGAAATTAAGTCCGCAAGACACTTTCTGAGAATTGAGATTTGTAACTCCACATCAGGGGATGTGGGAAGGAATCCTCACATTTGTCACCAATCCAGTCTTGTCTAATTCGGCATTACCACGCAGGCGTCTTAGACGGTCCGTGACTACTCCGTAGTATCGGTCAAGTCTTTTCAGGACCATTTGCCTTGAGCAGAACGCGTCATTGGCAACCGTTCAAAGCTGTCGCGATTTGTGTATAAAAGGGGAAAGCAAGTTGCAGATGAAACGAAGAAATGTCCCAGCTGAGGATTCTATTTCAATGTTCCGTGTTCATATTCATCCACAACTGTATTTCCTGTCAACTCAAAACTTAGAACCTCACATTTCGATTGATACATCATGTGACTAGCCCGAAAGAACAAAAGAAAATCTTCAATTTCATGTCAACTTGCTTCAATTTGTCCATCTTCTGTCGGTTCACATATATCATCAATGTGCACGACACACCCGAAGAAAATGGTAACCTGAACCACTGCTGACTGTTCTCAATAAGACGCGGGTTGCAGCAGAGAAATTGATTAAAAACAGAAAGAAAGCTTGACAACAAAATGCTCGGAAGTCTGGTAACCAGCTATTTCTTTCAGAATGTAAGGATGGTGCTTTGAATTATTCCAGACAACAATGTCAATCTCGAATGTCACATTGCCAACCTAAGTGAAAACCTCAACTTCTGCAATAAGATCATTCAAGTAACTGCCCAAAATGAAGCTAAAAAATCTCCAATGCCCTTATTGCTCAGCGGCATTATCCTGCAAAGCCTTAAATAACGACCAAGACATAGGTTAAAATTCCTGAGAGGCCCAGGCGACAAACTTGGAGCAAAATTCGGTTGCAGAGGCCTACAAATCCGAGAATCCCAGATTGTAACATTTGCACAAATATGAGTGGCTTCAGATGTGCTAAATAAAGCGTTCTGCTCTGCCTATCATGATTAGCCCCAAAATCATGTCGATTAGTTAAAAAGGTTCAAAGAAATGAAGCGATCAGAAGTCATCTAATCAATCTTTATCAACTATATGAAAATTCAAGGAACCGTGATACACCAAAGAAAAAAATGGACAACCGATCATCGTACTCTGTCCATTTATAAGTCACCACTTGAAATTGGCAGTTCTCAAAGGGTAATATAGCCCAATCACCTATCAGTCACTTAAATATCCTACAGGAATTGCGGCGCAGTTCGATCATCCAACCATCGTACGCTTTCGACCTCTTTGCCGCACTGCATAAGTTTTTAGACAGAGAGAAGAAAAGAAAATGTTAAACAAACTAAATCAGCGCTTTTCCTCCTAATGTGGAAAGTGAAAAGAAGGAACAGGCTTCACCTTGAGCTAGTTTGTTTAATGTAGACGACCACTGTTTCGAGGACTTCCGATATGCAGCAAGTATGCGATCCATCTAAAACGAAAGTCAACACTATGCATAGACCAGATTCTGGTTTCAAATTTATTCGTGCCTTAACACATGCCCAACAGCCCCTCAAATTGAAATCACTTTTAAATTTCAAGAAAGGAGAGAACCGGTCTTATGAAAGTCATTTCAACATAAAATAATTCTTCAAAAAATTTGCAATTTAGGTATGCATTTCACGCAAGATCCTGATGCATGCATTCGCACTTTCAGAAGCACTTCAGATCAGTGGTAAATACAGAGATATTTTTCAACTTGAAAAAATCAGGTAGTTTTAGTTTCCATTTCTCATGATAAGGCAAATTCATAAAGAACTGCAGCTTTCCCCATGCCCAGCAACAGAACGAATAAACACCACCATAAAAATAGAAAAGAAACAAGAAGACGACTCAGCATACCACATTTCCACAAGAAGAATGCATTGAAACCAGCGCTCTCTCAAGTACATACAGATCAACAGCTTTATCTTCTGGAAGGGTCGATGTAAAGCTCAGACCAAAATCAATAAGAACCTGAAATAATACGATGGATAATGTGCAGACTCATGAGAACAACTTCCTAATAAAACGTCTATGGAAACTCTTTGCCAGCACCATCGAAAGAAAAAAAATTTGAAAAGAACCTCAAATGCCACACGAAACTGGAGACCACTATCTAAAGAGCAAAAACCGCAGATATTGCAAAGAATAAAGATGCAAGGGCTACTTCCTCGAGGAACCACTCAGAACATAATAGCTTAACAAAACTAGCCTAAAATAGGTGATTGAGCATAAGATATCAATGATCAGGCGCATTTTGTTTATTCTCTTTGTGTTTAAGCGTACTCTAGTTTCAAACCCGCCTATCGATCACTGTATGAAGGTGAAGATTTTACCAGCTGATTAGTGCTACTCTGGATCAACATGTTGGACGTGGTCAGGTCTCCATGAACCAGACCTCCATCATGAAGCTTCCCAATTGCGTCGCCAATCTGTGCAGCGATATCATCCAAACGCTCTTCCACAATACCCTGCGACCCAAACTCAAGAAATACATCCTTCACCGAAGGGCCACTCACGAATTCAAACGTCAGGGTATGCAGCACCGGGTCCACACCGTACAGAACCGGAGTGGAGACCCCCAAGCGTCTCGCTTTCGTCATGCACCTAGCCTCCTGCTCCACAGTTAAGGGACGAGTAAGGCGGACCGATACAGCACCCACAGCAACACTTACTCCACACACACACGAGTTCAATGTATACACACAAACCCACAATGTCTGTCAAAACTAACCGCATTCAGGCGCTTCAAAGTGAGTTTCGAGTCCAAGGACGGATGCCGGTACTTCTTCGAGAAGCGCTCCTTGATGATACACCTCCTTCCCACAAAACTGGACTCGAAAACTCTCTGAAAAATCAGATTTTTTTTCCCAACCAGAACACGTTACGACGACGGGGTATTACTCGCGGCGGAATAATTCGAAAGCTAATCAGACGTCGGCTTATCAGCCCATCTTTAAAACAAGCACAGTTCTCGACAATCAGGCAAGAGGGTAATCTGGAAAATCCGGCAAATGGGTCACGAAAAGATGGAAGCTTTTTGGGACTCACAGCTTCAGCGCCTTGCTTCAGCAGGACGAGAGAGCCGCCACCGCCACCGCCACCGGCATCGGCATCCACCGCCATGTCAAGGCCCCGCGTGTTCTCGAGCTGTGCAAGAAGGCCGAGTTAAACGACGCTGCTTCGAAATTTAAGGCCGAGAAACAGGTGATTCTGGAGGAGAGAACGAAATTGCAATTGCAACGAGCAGATGAAAAGGGCCCCGGAGATTCCCGAGGATCACACCTCACCTGATTTAGGGTTCTATCTCCGAGCTCCACGGAATTGAGACTTCGATTAGGGTTTTTTTGGGGGGGGGTTGCATACGACCTGCCGTTTTGGGGTTCTCAGAATTACAGAAACGCCCTTCTCCAAGTTGTGGGTCCCACGTTGCCAAGTCACGACTCTCGAAGCCGAGAGCGAGTTGGTTGAAAACGGCGGGAACGGAACCGGCGAGTTTTTTTATTTTTTTTCTCTAGAGCCTTTCTCCTATATCAACATTTCTGAATATGCTATAATGACCAAAACCTTACTCTATATTTCATAGATGTTTACTTCTATACGCATTGATGATCGCGAAGAATAGTAATTGATTTGTCACGATGAATTACGTAAGTTGATTGTTTTTACTAAATGTGAGATTGTATAATTCATCTCTCTTTTTCTGACAAATTTTGATCGTGAGGATACACTCATTACATTGCCAGTCATTCAGTGAGCCAAGCTTAGCTAAGCAATTGATTTCATACTCAAATTATGTCATTGAGCGATATTTAAGAATGTTAAACAACATAATTAGGACATTTATGGCAAAAAATGGACCTCGTCCCAGAAAACATCGGGAATTTCAAAAACTCTTTTAGGTGGAAGAAACCTACCTCAAGAAGTGGACAACATAATGGTAAGATTGTCAAGCCACAAAAAAGAGTAACGATAAACCATCATCGATTTTTTTTTTTGCTTTTCTAAAATTAACAGGAGATAGTTGTGAAAAGGCAAATAAGATCACTTCAAACTTCAAAATCTTAGAAAGCAAGAACAAAAGCCAATTCGTCCTCTGTATATCGTTTGGAAGTAATGTAAGGATCTAACACAATACACAGAGAGCTGCAGTTCCATCTTCTTCATAGTCTGGGAAGGTTTGATCTTGGCCCCTGCAGGACGAGTTCTTTCTTTGGATATTAGCAGTATGGCCTGTAGTGTTGCCTAGCCACGAGAGGCTCGGCAAGTAAGTGAAAAAGACTTGAAATAGAGATATCTCTCGTATGTTCAAGCCTCTCACTCAACGCTAGATTGAACCTTTCAATTACAGAGACATCTCTATTGAGGGCACTGATCAAACCACCCAGAGCTCAACAGAATGGAAACAGCAAGAATCTGCGCTCGAGAACTTCAAAGGGAAACATTCAACAGTCATCCTCCTAACTTAACACAGTACTAAGTAGACAACCTCTCCACCTACAGCTAGTTTTATTGCAGCAACACCGACCTAGAATTGAACGGCTTTCGCCATGCCAAAAGCAGCCGCCGAAGCAATGGCGCCGATCAAAGCCGTTTGCAATGCACTTTTGAAGGGTTTATTGCCGGTGAAGTAGCCCTTGGCATACCCGAAGATCAGCAAGGCCATCAGTGTCAAGATGACGGATGCTACCACTGCTTTTCTTGCTACTGGAATGAACATGTAGGGAATGAGAGGAACGAGCCCACCCAAGACGTAGGCAATGGCAATCGTGAACGCACTTTGAAGCGCTCTCTTAGGATCTGGCTTCTCGAGTCCAAGTTCAAACCTGAAATCGCAGTATTCAGTTGCATTTTCAGTTCCTACATTTTGCTTCAGGCATTAATCAAGATTACCATTGATCATTCAATGGCCAATGAACTGATGTATTCACAACGCATTCAGTTTACGGATAATACATGTGCAACCTTGTCACTCAGCAAAAGACCAACAATATGCTTTCTACAAACATCACGCATCCACTCCTTTGAAGCCCGTTTACTTAATCCTTAATGTGTGTGATCTCATGGCAGAAACATGCCAAATTACAGATGGAACTCACAGATCGATCGATCACCCATATTAAACTCTACCTCAGTAGTCTTGAGAACATTTATAGTTCATTAGATCCCCCTGTTCTACATTGTTTGGATATATCGCTCTCAAACAACAACAACAGGCATATTCTCCAGTTTTATTTCTCTCTGCAAATTGTTACCCATACATACCATATAGTATGATTTTCATGCTTCAGTAGATAGCATAGGCAATTTAATTGGCTGATTTTATCAAAAATCTTTACATCAGGCAAAAAGAAAAGAGTGAAGATTCTTTCACAGTTGATCCCACTCTAAATATGGCAAACGACCTGCACCTCATAGGTAATTTAAGAAGGAAGCACCTTTCAAATTTCTAAAGACTTTATCATCATGACCCTCCAAAGTAAGAACAAGAGCCAACAAAATGCAGTAGATACGGGTTCATGAAGTCCAAAATAACATGTGCTGAAGCGTACAAAGAACCATGACACATAGCAGAACCTATATAGGATAAGGGTTACGAAGGAACCAGCAAAGGCAGGATCAAAGGGTTTTTTATAAGGAAAAAAAAACCAACTAAGTATTTCTCATTGATGCAATTTCATATGGCAATTAGCAGTTGCAGAGCATACGATTGAAAAGCTACATGAAACATTATAAAATTGAAATTTGGGTTTACATCATGTAAGAATGTTGGAGATTTCAGTGAAAGTAGAAGCATGACTCCTGTCATCTTGTCTCTGTTCTTTTATATAGGAGATTGAGGACACAGCACGCCATTTCAGTTACAAATATGTCAGCAAACTCTCCTCAAAGTTTTTCATCTTCTACTGATAACAGCGACACCCACATAGTTTGGATTAAATCCAATAAAGTGAATATCTTCATACTATTTTCACATTTCAGACGCAAAATTCATAAAGTCAAGTAGTTCACCTGGGAATAATAGCTTTGGTGATTTTAGATGCTCGCATAAGTCCCTCATGGCATTCAGATGTTTTCTTGACTTTTCAGCCATGAGGGGCTGATTAACCATGCCATATGAGGTATATAAGAATTCAACTTACTTCATCATGAAATCGAGCCATGCCTGGGGCCTCTTCCTGAGAGCATTGACCACTGGACCATATTCATGTGGCTCTATACCATACTGTGCAAGTATCTCAGCTACCTCTGCAGCCTCTGCATTTAAGGAACATTCTCCAAATCAGACGAACATCTAGTGTCTCGAACAAGACGACTCTCGAATAGGGTAAAACAATATTGTACTGCAGAACTAGGATTTTACTCATCACATGTATAAGTGGGGAAACCTGTATCTGGAACTCTGATGATCTCTTCTTCTTCTCTCTTCAACTCCCTCGCATAGTTATCCGCCTCGCTCTTAGCTGCAAGATACCTGCACTTCCCCTCATAGTCGTTAATCAAAAGGACAACTTCCACACACTCTTTACACCTACAAAGAATGTTATGTTTACATTCTTCCATATTTCTTGGATCATAAGTGCTTCCGCTCAGCTTCCGCCTAGCAGTCATATAATTTCATCAATATTTATTAGTTTGTTTAACACTACTCGCATCTTGGCTACATTTAAGACCAACCCTCATCGAAATTCAATAGGAAATTCGTATTCTTGCCATGATTCAGCTCAGGCGCATTAGACTAAACCCGTCTCTGCACGAGAAACTGTGATCTCCTGCAATATATGGTTATTGGCTTCTTGTTTACTGTCAAGAAATGGAAAATGGGATCTCACCCTTCTCTAGACGAGCAAGGATATCCGAGTCCTGTGGACGCTGGTCACCGGATTCAGATTCACTTAAAATGATACACGGCAGAAAAGTAGCCTCTTTTTTTAACTTTTGTATCAGCAGTTGAAAGGGTGATGCGAAAAGGAGAGCATAGGATCGAATGTGAACAAACCAGGAGATACGGTTGAAACGGGAGAGACCTTCAACGATCTCAGAGCAAAGGCAAACGCGAAGACTGAAGAGCGAAAAAGACGGAAAAGAAATATATGGAGGGAGTACCCGCCGAGACCCATGGAGATGGCGCCGGCGGCGACTTCGGCAATGCCGGCGGTGAGGACGATGGACGAGGGGGCGTTGGCGCCGGAGAGGCCGGCGGCGAGGGCGAAGGGGACGGTGAGGCCGTCGGAGACGCCGATGATGATGTCGCGGACGATCTCGCCGGCCGTGAAGTGGGCCTCCCTGTGGTCGTTCAGGAGCAGCCGCTGCCGCTCCTCCTCCGCCCCGCAGCTCCCCACGTTGCTCTCGCTCCCGGCCATGGATCACGGCGATCCCTTCTCTGGGTCGCGGCCGCGGGGACGGAAACCGGCGACACACAGCCGAGCAGCGAGCGACGGCGCCGGTTGACTCGAGGAGGGCGATCGTTCTTGTCCGTTTGTATATGAATGAACGGACGAATTCTATAGGGACAGTGGCCGCTACTGCTCGTGCAGGTGCCGCGTGAAGAACAGCGATGGGCAATCTCATAAATATCGAATTCTGTAGGGACCCGAATGCAAACAAGGTTACGTTGCTCTCTTGCCCCACCAAGCTAGGATGTTTTGACCAATTGTAAGATTTAGAGGGGCTAAAAAGAAAATAGATAAAATTCCCGAATGATGACCCGAGATCATGGCCCAATTTTTACCATTCTCTTCTAATGAACGTTTTCCATCCGCACGTCCTTGTCATCAAATGATACATAGCACATGAAAAACTTGTGCCAATTCTCATACGTAATAAATGTTAAATCTCGACACACACACCCGCTTAAATGATTAAATTTATTTCGAGATGTTAGGAAAGTCCAATCCAAAATATTAAGCTGTTAGATGAAGGGAGACCACATTAATATAATTAGCATTTAGGACCCGTTGTCAAGCGATGTGAGACAATATTTCAGTACTCCATTTGATGTGGAAGCCGGATTACAAGCAGCATGTGGAATTTGACCAATGAGGGAGGAGACAAAGTCGCGAAAAGGGACATTGCCTTGTACATTTTGACACAAAACATGCAATTCATACATTTTCGAAGTCAACCGCTACAAATAAATCTCAATGTTGCCTCATGTCGAATGGGATCTGCCGTCAATTGTACCATAAGAACATATGCGGTATCCACATCTTAGCTTATGCTACATAAGCATTTGCGAGAAAGACTATTCTATATCTCCATTCATATTTCACACATTCCATCTTGAACACAATGTTAAAGGAAAAGGTTTTCTCCGTCAACACTCGACACAACTCAATATTTATGGACACCCTTTTCAAACTACGAATTTCACCAACATCAAGTATCTAACTGAGAAAGCTTCAAGGGTGCTGATTTGCAGAAAGACAAACAATTCATTAGCAACTCTAGCAATGTGGTTATCGTGTTATATGATACTAATGGATGAAGAATGGGTTTTTCCCTTGGCTATAGGATTAGGTGTACGTTGCTCTCTTGCCCACCAAGCTAGGATTTTTGACCAATTCTATAATTTAGTGGGGCTAAAAGGAAAAAAGATCGAATTCCCGGATGACCCAAGATCAGGGCACAATTTATTATTCTCTTCTTACGAACGTTTTCCATCTACACATCCTTATCATCAAATGATACATAGCACGTGAAAAACTTGTGCCAGTTCTCGTTTGTTACACACCCGCTTAAAAGATTACGTTTATTTCAAGATATGCAATTCATCCATTTTCGAAGTCAACCGCTGCAAATGAATCTCGACATTGCCTCGTGACGCACGAGATTGTACCATAAGAACATTACACAATATCCAGATTTTAGCTTTTGCTACATAAGCATATGCGAGAAAGACTATTCTATATCTCCATTCATATGTTCACACATTTCATCTTGGACCCAATGCCAGAGAAAAGGTTTTCTCCGTCAACGCTCGACGCAACTCGATATTTATAGACGCCCGTTTCAAACTACGAACTTCACCAACATCAAGTTCTAACCGAGAGAAGCTTCAAGGGTGCCAATTTGCAGAAAGATCAACAATTTATTAGCAACTCTTGCAATGTGTGGTTGTTATGTTATATGATACTAATGGATGACGAATTGAGTTTTTCCCATGGCTATAGGATTAGGTATGCGTGGAGAAGATGACTGGGATTGGGAGGGGCATCATGATGCATTTAACTCTTTTTTGGGGGGTCAAAAGCAATCTTTCCATTAATAGGTGTAAAGTTAACATACATCGTTCTAGATTACACCTTTTTCACCGTGAAAAAGGTGTAATCTAGAACGATGTATGTTAACTTTACCCCTATTAAAGCTTACCCAGAAACATGCACATAACAACCTTAATATAATAAGCTGTGGTGACCCACTGGTTCTCACTTATCTTCAACATAAACAGAAGCCATGGGCCATTTTGACATTGCTATTAAGCTCCTCGATTGAGCCATAACATACTCAGATGTCATTAACTCATCGAAAACAAAGTTGAAACAACGAGTGAAGAGTAACCAAGTCATACGGCGACAACACAAGAGCTCACCCATTTCACAAAAGCAAAGAAACAGAAAAAAGAAAAGGGCCGGCGGTTTTGAACATGAGATCAAGATCTGAAGAGCTTGGCGATGGAATAAGCGGCTGCGGACGCGACTGCGCCGATGAGGGCAGTCTGGAGGGCGCTCCGGAAAGGCCGGTCACCTGTGAAGTGACCCTTGACGAAGCCGAAGATGAGCAGCGCAACAAGTGTGATCCCGACAGAGGCGAGCACGGCCTTGTCAGCGATTGGAATCACCATGTACGGCATTAGCGGCACCATCCCGCCGATTACATACGACAAGGCGATGGTTGCTGCACTCTGCAGGGCTCTCATGGGGTTTGGCTTCTCGAGTCCTAGTTCAAACCTGATGAAAGTTTTTTGGCCATTGCCCTTATAAGTTTCAGGTGTCAGTGCAACTTGAGAGAGAGAGGGAAAGATTGATCGATTCATGGCTTACTTCATCATGAAATCGAGCCATGCTTCGGGGTTCCTCCTCAGGGCATTCACAACTGGCTCGTACTCGTGGGGCTCGACCCCGTATTGCGCCAATATTTCCGCGATCTCGGCGGCCTCTGCAACATAAATCCTGGAAATATTAGCCTCCTTCTCCGAAAATCGACATCACCCCATGACACTAGCATTATCGCATAAAAATGCAAACTAACTCCCATTAGATACGACCTTCAAGTGATTATATGATGATAAACCTAACTGGGAAATGAGGGTAAAGAGACCTATATCCGGCACACTGATGATCTCTTCTTGTTCTCTCTTTAGTTCTCTATAGTAGTGATCAGCCTCACTTTTCGCTGCCAGATACCTGCACCCACGTATTACCATTACATTATGATAAGCATCATTGAGTTATGCACACTATTCAACACATCAAAGGGAACGCTAATATTAGTGGGGCATGCATATCATTAATCAGGTCCCAAAGTACTCGGAAAAGTACCCTCCAAGTCCCATGGAAATCGCGCCGGCCGCGACCTCAGCGACGCCGGCAATCAGAATGATGGAGGAGGTGACGTCGGCCCCAGAGAGGCCGGCAGCGAGGGCGAAAGGGACGGTGAGGCCATCAGAGACACCGATGATGATGTCGCGGACGACCTCGCTCGACGTGAAGTGCTTCTCCTCGTGATCGTGCAGGAGCAGCCTCTGCTTCTCCAGGTCCGGATGCCCATTCGCGGCCATGATGTTATCACACCAGCTTCGATTTTTTAGCACGAAGAAACTATCGACAGAAGGAGCAATCGAATAAGCTTTGAGAGATGAAGTGATGAAGAACAAGTGAGCGGGGCATTATATAGAGGCTGAGGGAGTGTGGAGTTTTGTTAATTAGTGCGTTTGTCCGGATGCAAATTAAGAAAAAGGTGGTTAGGGGGAAAAGCGCTGAATAAGTCTTAAACCTTTTGGGGCGGTGCTAATTTAATCCTAAACCTATTTTTTGTGCCAATTGAGTCCTAAACCTTTTAATATAGTGTCAATTCAGTCCTTTTGGCCGGATTTTGCTGACGTGGACGTCGGCCGGCCGGCGACCAGTCACCGGCGCTGACGTGGACAAAATTTAATAATATTTTAATATTTTTTTGAATTTTTTTTTCTTCTCCCTCTTCCTTCAGCCGGTCGCCAGAGCGGCGACCGGCCAGAGGCCAGAGGCCGGCGAGGTCGACCTCGCTGGCCTCGGGCGAGCCTCGCCATGGCTGGGCGAGGCTCAACCTCGTCGGATCTGGTGAGGTCGAGCCTCGCTGGCGGCTGAGCGAGGCTAGACCTCGCCAGATCCGACGAGGTTGAGCCTCGCCCAGCCATGGTGAGGCTCACCTTTGCCGACGCCGGCGAGGGCGAGCCTCGCGCTGGGCTGGCGAGCCTCGCCCGGCCCTCGCCATGGCCGGGCGAGGGTCGACCTCGCTAAATCCGATGATGTCGGGCCTCGCCCGCCCGCCGGCGAGGCTCGCCCGCCCTCGCTAGACCTCACGACCTCCGGTGAGGGCTGAGCGAGCCTCGCCGGAGGGCCAGGCGAGGCCCGACCTCGCCGTATCCGGGCGAGGTCCACCTCGCACGGGCCGGGCGAGGTCCAACCTCACCCAGCCATGGCAAGGCTCGCCTTCGCCGTCGCCGGCGAGGGCGAGCCTCGCGCTGGGCTGGCGAGGCTCGGCCGGCCCTCGCCATGGCCGAATGAGGGTCGACCTCGCCAAATCCGGCGAGGTCGGGCCTCGCCCAGCCGTCGGCGAGGCTCGCTCGGCCCTCGCCAAAGGTCGCGAGGTCTGGCAAGGGCCAAGCGAGCCTCACCGGTGGCTAGGCAAGGCCCGACCTCGCCGGATCTGGCGAGGGCCGGGCGAGCCTCACCGGCCTCTGGCCTCCGGCCGATCCCTGCTCCGGCGACTGGCTGAAGGAAGAGGGAGAAGAAAAAAAAATTCAAAAAAATATTAAAATATTATCAAATTTTGTCCACGTCAGCGTCGGTGACCGGTCGCCGGCCAACCGACGTCCACGTCAGCAAAATCCGGCCAAAAGGACTGAATTGGCACATATCAAAAGGTTTAAGACTCAATTGGCACCAAAAATAGGTTTAGGACTAAATTGGCACCACCCCAAAAGGTTTAGGACTTATTCAGCACTTTTCCCGTGGTTCGGGCATTTCTTTTTAGGAACACCACTTCCATTAAGTACGCTAAGTTCATTTTATAATATCCATGCGTCATGCCATAAATAATGAGTGGATCTTAAAATAAATTATTTATATTCAATAGTCAATAAGAGTCTTTTTTTTTCATTTTTTCGATCGCATGACCAAGATAAAGTAAAGCTACTAGCTTGACCGATCTATATAGAAATCATCATAAAATCTCGTGTCGTCTATGAAATTTTTGGGTTTAAGATTACAGAAAGATTGTCACTAGGCTAAGTCTCACCGTAATATAGCTCATTTCGCTAATATAAAACAAACCCATTCATTATCACATGCCATATAATAGAGTAAGCCCATATATGAATTGTAAAGGCTCTAGGGTTTTCACTTTCTTTTTGCCCTGACAGATTCCCTGGTAAAAAGCAAGGGGCGGGCAATCGATTGATAGGGGCCCGCATGTTTTACGGGCGTGGGTAGGGGAGGATTTTGCAAAAGACGTGTTCACTTTTGCAGTCGTTTGTCGTGTTCTCTGTATCGAGTTTGTCCACCACTTAAAGACAATAGCGGAACTCAAAGTTTTGGATATTCATTCCATTCACGAGTCATCGTCACCGGTCGCTAATGGCGTGTGCCTAACACAAGGCCACACTCTCTTCCGAAGGTCGAAAGAAAAGCATTATCGGTATGAACGGAGAAAAGACATTATCTCCCCCTTTGGTCCACCCTAAAAACAAAAACAAAAGAAGAAGAAAAAGGTGGTGTCCTCTTGCAATTACTCAATATGGATGTGAGATTACTTAACAACAAAAGAATGACAAATGGGAGCCGCCATTCCTTTTTATCGAAATCAAAGACTATGCTTAGCACGTTACGAAGACGCCTTTGAATAAATGGAGGGGTCGTTCATAGGCGACCAAGCTCTCGCCCTGCGAGTCCATGACTAGGGTTTCGTGCTTTGGAACATGACCTCGATTGTGCTAAAAGGGCCCTCCTCGTACATTGGGAGGTGATCGATTCTCGGGCGATCCGGTTCCCACCCAGGAGTCAGAAACCCGACCGTCTAGTCCTGGAATCGGATTGGACCGGTCCGGTACGGTTCCCAGATAAGCCAATGAAACCAATGACATGTTTTGTTTTCTTTTTTTAAACATGTAGTCTATAATCAATTGCAAGGTCTATATAAAAAGGATGTTAAACCCAATATGGGAATTCGTATGGGTTAACAGAAAATGCGTACGAGTCCATTATGAGGGTAATCAAAACGACCATGTTCCGTGCAAATTTGATATCGATGCTTTGCAATGAACTTAAAGACTTAGGAAGTGATACGATAGGAGACGAGCAGAGGATAAAAGTCGTACTTGCTCGATTACAAATTTTTTACAAATTTGTAAAAAAAATTTAAAAAAATCGATCCGATCCGAGTGGTCCAGATGGGCAATTCCACACATGGAATTGGAAACTACACCGAAAATCACCGGTTCCAAAAAATTGGAATCGGGAACATGACCGATGCCTTCGGGAACTACCCAGAACCGATCAGTTCGGTCCGGTCCGGTCCGTGCCTATTGTACATAATGTGAGATAGTCCATGATGATCGTGAAAACAAAACAAGACTTTTTTTTTAGTTTATCTTGGAACAAAAACCCTCCATTGGTAGAGAGTTGTAATTGATCATTTCGACAAAATATTTCCGTATAGTACCCTGAAATTCTCTCTTAGTAACATCAAAGTCTACATGACGAATTTGAGGATGATGGAGATATAACGAATCTTGCCCTCAAAGATCTCCATTCTTTTTTATTGACCAAATAGAGATCTTCAACATCTCACATGAAAATGATCACTTGGTCATTTTTTTCCTAATCTACAAAGCTTCAAATAATTTTCAAAGGTCATGGGGACTAAACTTGTTTACTCTTTTTTATTTTCTGACCCAAAAAATAAAAAAGACAAAGCATGGCAAAACAATTATTTCTTTTATTATATGCCATCAATAATTATTCTCCAAAAGCTTACGTTCACACGCCTATGGGAAATCATTGCTATCATGCTTTTTAGACATGTGGGTTTCTTCCCATTTGTACAAAATATCTCCATCTTTGTCATCATAGTTCATTATGCCTCCCGTTCAGACAATTTATCCATAAAACCATGTGCGTTTCTCTCGAATAAGAATTAAAAAACAACGGTTTATACAGCCAATTTCAAATCGGTATATTACGCAACTTTTATCCTGAACTAATTTTAGCGTAATGAAAAATTTCAAACTAGGTACACCCATGAAAGATGTACCAAAATTTTAGGATAAAATTAGGGATTTTCAGCGAATTTTCAAAATGTGAAGGAACTCTTAGGGCATAATCAGCATATTTTAGCAGATTTCCCAATTTCAGTTCATTTCCTTTAGATGCGGCATTTCAAAAAAATGAGGTTGTTTAGCAGACCTAATTGTGTTTAATTTCCACCTTGTATCCACGTTGCACACCAATCATCCGAATTGTTTGTCACGTGTATTTCCACGTCGTCAATTTAACGGAGATGTTACATGGAAGCCGACGGCCTTTAGATTCTTTATAGGTATAATACGGATTTTTTTTGGAATTTTTTGTGACGGAGTAAATGTGATACATGTTCGCCGGTTTGAAATTTTTTTGGCGGAGAATCCTAAAAATAAAGTGTCATCTTTCTTGGATAATGTAGTCTTAATTTAGGAGTTGATCATGACTAGGGGTAAGTATGGTTTGGATGGGCAATTCCCACCCTAAAATCGGGAACCGCCCACTAAAGATTGGTTCCAAAAAATTGGAATCAATAACTGCCTGTCGGTTCCATGGACCCACCCGAGGACCGGATTGCAGGTCCGGTCCGGCTCTCGGGGTCCATGGAACCCGGTCCCACCAAGCTTCACGCAATTAGTGGCTTGTTTTCCAGTACGTGAAAGTAAAGCAAGAAATTTTCAAGCAATAAACTTAACACGCGCAATCAACGAGGAGAGTCAATTACCATTTGTAACTGGCCACAACAAAAACCTCGGAGTAATGCTTCCTCGTATTCAACGTAGGGAGGTTTTCGATTCTCTTTGTGAACTTCATTGAAGGAAGATCCTACGGTTGCTGATTCTTGACCAGGCCAGTAGGATCCACCATTTCTTAACTAGAACAGCAGCATCACACGCAAATTCCATCTCTACTGCCAACCTCGCAGTCTAAAAAAAAATGACAAAAAAGCAAATGGATTCAAGAGAGCTAAGAGATGTGAAGCAGCAAAATGCTGCCTTCCATGGGCTAAGGGCCCTCGACAACCAAATCAGAATGCAGGACCAGCATTTCTTCGTCCTCTCGTTGCAACAGCGCAGAACAATCAGTGTTCAAAGCAACCAGCATTTTTTCTTATATATATTACCGGTCCGATCTGAATGGGCGGGTGAGTGGGGGGTTACATACCTAGTATTGGAAATCGGACCGATACCCACCGATTCTACTAAATTGGAACCGGAAACCGGACTAATTTTCTTGGGAATCACCGGTTGTGGGCCGGTTCGATTCAATTCCGGACGATTAGGGCGATTTCTGATTCTTTTGCATATCCCTAATCATGACCACGTGAATTCACGTTCCACGAATAGGAGGGACATGAAAGGGCCAAAAGAGAAGAAGGAAAGGAAAAAGTCATTAGCTCACCTGA